CTCTCCACTTCCATCCATGCTCTTGGTGGAAATGCAGACTGGTACAGACACTGTGGAAAACAGTTTGGAATTTCCTCAGAAAACTAAAAATGGAACCGCCTTTTGACTTGGCAATTCCTCTGCTGGGATTATACCCTAAGAATCCTGAAACACCAATCCAAAAGAACCTATGCACCCCAATGTTTATAGCAGCACAATTCATAATAGCCAAGTGCTGGAAGCAACCTAAATGCCCATCAGTCAATGAATGGATCAAAAAACTATGCTACATTTACACAATGGAATAAATACTCTGTATTCATTTAAAAATGAAAGCCACCTTCACAACTGGTAACCTAGGCATACAGATATGAGAAGCAACAAAAGTGTAAATAGTCTTAAGAATGCCAAAGCTATCAATGCATGAAAAAACCAAGAGGACCAAAATGTACTATCAGTGCTATGATGCTTGGATATACACAGAAAAAAATTTTTATTGAAGAGAGAAATATACTTTAATCAAAACTATTAAGACCAATGATAAAACATGAGGTTCAAGAAAAAGTTTTTATTATTAGATAAATCAGAGAAAGCAAAGGAAACAAATCACAGTTAGGATTCTAATATTAGTGGTTAAAAGTATTGAGAGTTAAATTTCAGGTAACAGCCAGTTAATCTATAAGCCGAAATTCCCACATATAACAATTCTAATCTATTTTTAAACCTTTATTTATAACCCAGTGAGTCAAATTTTTGGAATATATCCAAAGAAAACCAAAATACTAATTTGAAGGAATATATGCACCCCTCTATTCATTGCAGCATCATTTACAATAGCTAAGATTTGAAAGCAGTCCAAGTGCTCATCAGTAGATGAGTGGATAAGAAAGCTGTGGTATATTTACACAATGGAATGCTATTCGGCTATAAAAATAATTCAATTTTACCTTTTGTGATGGCGTAAATGTACCTAAAGGGTATTGTGATAAGTGAAGTGAATCAGAGAAAGACAAACAGCATGATCTCATTTATATGTACAATTTAAAAAGAAAAATAATCAAAATAGAAAGAGACTCAGAGTTACATTGAACGGGTAGTTACTGGTAGCTATCAGAGAGGAGGTTGGGTGCTGGATGAAAAAAAGGTGAAAAACTTAAGTATTATATATTTGTGTATATGTGTGTGTGTGTGTATGTGACACAGACACAAATATAAAACACAGACACAGACAACAGTGTAGTGATAGAGGAAAAGAGGGTAGCAGGAGGTACAGTAGGCACAGGGAGGTAAAGTGGGGTTGGAGAGATACTTTGCTTGTGCTTGTGGGTGCACAATGCTGCATATGGATGACATTTTGTTGAGTTGTACACTCGAAACCTGTGTGGTTTTGTGAAAATTGATAGCAAGTGTGTCTCCTTAATTACAAGAAATACTGCTCTTAAATTAGAAATATCTAGAGCAAAATAGAAAAGTGTTACCTTGTGACATGTACCTGTCTCCCCTTCTGTACCATCATCCACTCCACCTATCCTACACTCCTCTTACATTAATCTCTCAGATGCTAGGTTCCTGTGATATGCTCATCGCTTTCTATTCAAGGGGCTCTATAATTTCTTCCTGTCTTACATCATCAAATCTTGTTTCCCACTAGAGTTGAACGAGAATTTGTGCTTCCTTTTAGTGGGTTCCTCATGGTGCCAAGGACCGGACACACTACTCTAAATTCTTAATGTTAGGGTTGGTAGGTGAGGATCTGTTCTCTTCACCCTTCACCCCTCAGTCCATCTTGTTCTCTAGAGCTCTATTCAAGTTAAATAATGCTGACCCATTATTCGTGCCTATAACATGTTCTTTCTCCTTTAGCTTTTGCACCATACACATTGCATTTTAATTATATAGCATTTGGAGTGACTTCTAAGTATATTGTAAACCCTGTTGCCTCAACCATAATGGAAGTTTCTTGTAATAGAAAAAATTATTTTCAATGTTAGATATTGACTTCCACCTAAATAATTGCTTTTTAATTTTAATTCTCCTGTTTGAGTATTTATGACAGATTTTTCTTTTTTGGTGTGCTCCTCTTGCTCTGGAATTTTAAAAAGTTTCACATCCTGCTAAGTTCAAATAATACCCAAAAGACAAGATCTACCATATTGTTAGCTTAAATTTTATGTAAAGTATTATGGATTTAACTTGATTAGAAGAAAGTCATTCAACCCTGGCTGATTTAGCTCAGTGGATTGAGTGCTGGATGCGAAACAAACAGTCGCCAGTTGGATTCCCAGCCAGGGCACATGCCTGGGTTTCGGGCCAGGTCTCCAGTAGGGGGTGCGAGAGAGGGAACCACACATTGATGTCTCTCTTCTTTCTCCCTCCCTTCCTCTCTGTCTAAATAGAATAAAATAAAATATTTAAAAACAAAGGCATCCAAAGGTGAAGACTCAATCACAATGTAATGAATTATCATGGCATGGCCTGAGAAGTTTATTAGCTGATTTCAACTGCATTTGAGCTTATTGTAGTGCATACTGGTCACTACAGCTTTGTGATTTAATTAAGGAAAGTTGTTGATGGAGCATAGATACATTACAAAGATTTTAATAAATATGCTTGATATCCAAGGCAGCCTCACCATTGTTAAATCAGTACATTTGCTTTGCTGGAATTTCAACCATCCACACTTCTAATCTTGCATCAGGACTTAAGGTCCCAGGTATGTATTCTTGGTTCTACTATCTTTAGTTGAAAACTATAAACTCTATAGAAGGACTGGCATGTAACTGAGATAAGGTATAAAAAGGCAAACTATTATATGGCCAGGATGAGGTTGATGAAGGGGACTTATTATTTAAACCATTAAAGAGCCGAGCTTCAGGATCATCATCCACCTCTAGGTGTGGATACAATAAAATGACTGCCACCCTTCCCAATGGGAGCCAACTACCTTCACACCTGACTTTCTTTTCAAATATCATAACTTAGCTTCTCATATATTTCCAAAGAGAATTGAATCAGGTGAAAATAATTTTAAAAAGTCCATATTTGATTTCAGTCATTTATTTACAAATATAAGCAGATGTGTTTTGTGTGTGTATCCTGAGTGTGTCACACATGCATGCACATAGTGCAAATGGGGATAAAACTGTGCATTCGTTTTATATTACCTGTAACATCTGAAGGATTTCTATCATTTTCAATAAGGAGCTATGTGTGTGATTTAAGGTAGCTTTCCTCCAATTGGTTGAAGTTGAAGTAGCAAAATTTTGCTTCAATATCAGTTTTGATCTTTCTAAAAATGATACAAACACTGTTTTGAATATGGCCTTTCCTTGATTGTGTGTTTACTTGGTGGCTGTAGATTTTTACAGTTTCTTACAAAGTTATTTTAGTCAGTCTATAGGTTTTTTTTTAGATTTTGTTTATTTATTTTTAGAGAGAGGGGAAGGGAGGAAGAAAAAAAGGGAGAGAAACCTCAATGTGTGGTTGCCCCTTGCATGGCCCTGACTGGGGACCTGGCCCACAACCCAGGCATGTCCCTCGACTGGGAATGGAACCAGTGACACTTTGGTTTTCAGGTTGGCACTCAATCCACTCAGCCACAGCAGCCAGGATCTTCTCAAAAATCTTAAAATTTTTCTAAATGTTAATGGTGAAGAGGTGATGGTGAGGTCAAACATGTATGGAATTAAGCAGCATGGTTCCAAAGTACAAGGCTTCCAGTTTGGGCCTGACTGGCTAGCAGCACTGTGGGGTGCAACATATCTTTTACAAGGTAGGGTGAGGAGTAAACCAGAAAAACTGACATGTTTCTTGGTCACCAGAATTTGGGTGGGCTCTGGGATTTTAACCAAAGAGAAGGCGAAGGAAGATAAGATCAATTGTAGGACAGGTCTACGGCATTGGGCTTTTGACAAAAATATGTAGCCTTGTTGTTTCATTAGGTCACAGGTGGCAAACACAAGGCCCTCCATCTTGTTTTATTTGGCCTGCACCTTGTTTCTACCTGGTGGCAGCAGCAAGCTCCTTGCCCCTAGTTAAGGAGTAGTTACATTTACACAGTCCTAAATTATATTCGGCTCTTGGAAGGCAACTGTGAGGCTGATATGGCCTCTGGTGAAAATGAGTTTGACACCACTGCATTATATATAAGGGACATTTAGATATGGATGCCTGGAATTTCTCTGGGCCAGAGTAGGTATAAGATCCTTTGTTTTCTTTCTTTCTTTCTTTCTTTCTTTCTTTCTTTCTTTCTTTCTTTCTTTCTTTCTTTCTTTCTTTCTTTCTTTCTTTCTTTCTTTCTTTCTTTCTTTCTTTCCTTCTTCTTTCTTCTTTTTATCCTCTACTGAAGGTGGTTTGAGAAGAAAGTTTTAGAAATACTACATATTCAGAAAACATTTTTCAGTCTTCACCCATCACACTTTTTCTTCATCTCAGGTCTGCTAGACTTCCTTCTTAGCAGTTTTGCTCAGCACACACAGCCAGAAACAGGAAGTCTGGTGTGATTCTGTAGAACAAGTGAGGAAACTACTGTTGGCCTATTGAAACAGGGGGGCTGAAAATACCATGTAAGTTCATATTTGTTTGAAAATAATCAAACCTCAGAAACCTTTTTTTAAGGGTTTATTTGTTTATCTTTAGAGGGGAAGGGAAGGAGAGAGGGAGAGAAACATCAATGTATGGTTGCCTCCGTGCATCCCCTGCTGGGAACTGGCCTGCAGGGAACTGGCCTGCAACCCAGGCATGTGCCCTGACTGGGAATCGACCCGCGATTGTCTGGTTCACAGGCCCACGCTCAATCCACTGAGCCGCACCAACTAGGTGCAGAAAGCTTTTCAAATGCTTTCCCAGGTCCTATATTTTCATTTGCACCATGACTCTTCTTCAAGGACTGCAGCTGGAAACTTGAAAACAAAAACTTAGTGACAACTGACAAAGTCAAAATGCTTTTATTTATGCTGAAGTTTAGCAAGTACATTTTAAACAAAGAAGGTGTACTTTAACTTAATATATGGTAGAACAGAGAAACCATACATATGTTTCTAGTCTCTAACACACTACCAAATTTCTTTCTCTTAAAAGACAAAAAGCCAAGCTGAAGTGAGCATAGAAAAGCATCAAATATGGTCAAGATACTTAAGCCATGAGGATTTAGCTCATATTCTTAAACTGGTCAAACTAATGCGAGGACAAAGTTCACATCATTGCTTTTTAAATGTACACATGTTCCCTTTTTTTATAACACAATATAGGTTGAATAGCTGCTTCAGTAAATAAAGCTTTGCTAATAAACACAACTGCAGTAACTCCATGTTGAAGATTTTCAGAGATAAACTGGAACGATGAGCATCTTCGTTCGTGTAAAGTCAGGTTGAGCACAGCTGTTGACCCATTGCTAAACAGTAAAAGTTACCTCCTTTAAAAACAGAAAGCAAGTTAGTTCTTCGGAGGATTAAGTCAGATCCGTGCTTAAACATACTAACCCATCTTCAGGAACCTAAATGATGTGATGTGACAGGCTTCATTCAGTATCAATAAAGGTTGAAATTTTATAGCATTCCTATGTGTCAATGCATCGTTTTCACAGATTCCCTCCAGTTTCATGCTACAGCTTCTGTTCTTTCTACAGCACTGACATATTACGACTCTTTTCATAAACTATGATGTGTATAGTTATCTACATTACTTTTGCTTTTTGGACATAATAGTGATATTTGAGATCCCTATGCTGCACCGAAACAGAGAGAAAGGAGTGTCCAGTCATGACATAAAGGAATGACAGCTTTGAATACTTAGCATTTTCTCTCAAGTTAACCGGGAGACTGTGTGATTCTTTTCCAGTTCTGATTCTGATTTTAACCATAGTGTTGGGTCAAACCAATATCTATGGAAATGTTGGTATTCAAAAGAACCCATTCCTTTCCAGGGTTAGAAAATATTTGATGGTGTGGGGAAAAACTCTAATTGGAATTAATTTTTAAAAAATGTCTCTACCTCTTTTAGTCTAGCCTTGTTCTCTTCCATTGCCATGGGTTAGGGCCTCAGGCTGTAGCCAGCAACCTCATAAAAATTAGTCAGAAAAGAACCAGTAAACAAAATGTGGACGATCAGTACAAATCCATCACCCACACTTAGGAAACACTTAAAGTCTATGTGTCTGAGTGAAATGTATCAATTTCACATAGAAAAGAGACTGCATTTTCATTGTTGGACTGATCAGCCAAGCCTAAAATACTAATTCAGTCATGTCAAAGCTTAGCATTGTCAGGAGGGAAATATATCTTTTTTTGAGCCTTCTGTATAACATCTTTAAAATACTTATTCTTTTTGTGTAGAAGGTATTGCAGAGTGTTGGGGGAATTTTCTGGATAGTACCTCTGAACCAAAAATAAGGGTATGGTAAGGGATAGAAGAACAAAACAATTTGTGTTTATGCTGCTGTCATGACCTGGGGGGGTCAGAGTTCATTTCAGGGCAAAAGGACAAAAGGCCTATGAAATTCACCTGAATACTTCCAGTGACCAGAAGAAAACAAAACTTGAATTTTTGAAAACTCCCTGGCCATTTGCCACCCCAGAGAATTATTCAGACTCCTTTGTGGCATCTGAGAATATTTATTCTGATCAAATTCACCAGATAGGTGCTCTGTTTTCCAGCCTACCTCATCCTCTGTACACAAAGCCTAAATGTCAAAGAGAAGTTCTTCAACATCAAAAGGTAGACACTCATTTTACCAGGATTGAAATGTATACAAAATAGCTAAACTGCTTAACTCACACAATAGAAACTGTGAACATTACAAACTTGAAAGCGATTACAAAACAAAACTAATACCCAGTGAAAAAAACGGGACATAATCCTAGTAACAAATGCCACAAAGCAATCATCACTGCCCTTTAGAAAAAAAGGAAATTTGGGAAAATCTCCCTCGTTTAGCATGTTTAATTATATACCTTATAAAAAAGACAAACATTTCTGCCACATCATTAAATGTGCCAGTTTATAAGGCCTATCACGAACTGTTTCCAACAGCAGCTCAAAAATCCAAAGAAAAATGAAGTCAGCAAAAAGAAGACAGTATTACTATGAGTCCATTTTTCTATCCAGAATACAATGAAAGTGAGATTTCGTAGTAGTAAAAGTTTTGCTCCTAACTTAGCATATAATAGTAGCAAAATATACTTTCGTGTCACATGCTAACACTGACGCATTGTGTTAATGGTTCACAGGTACCAGTACTGAGCGATCCTAAGAGAGGAGCCAACGCTGACCTGGTAACTAACACGGGTCCTTGGAGCGATCTCAAAGTTCGCCACATTTCCATTTCTGAATGCATTTCGGCTGCAATATGAGTGATTTATCATTTAGTACTAGCTGTCAAAGTAAACTCCTAGATAAAACAGAAACATCTGGCACCATAAACAGAGGAGAGCAGTAGCTGAATTTTAATCCGGACCTGGCCTACTCACTTCATTAGGAACAGAAAACAGCTAATTTGTAATTGAATGTTTCGTGTTTTTAAGAGGGTTTTGGACTGGAGTCCAAACAGGGATGATGTAATATGCATTTTGGAAGTCAACAAGATTAAAGATCAGGAAGAACCAGGAACCAAGCCTCTCTGCAGAGGGAGCTTGGGAGCTTGCAAGGAGTGACACCCACTGACATTTGGGGATAACTGACATTCAGTGTTTTAAGATTTATTAGATAAGTAAAAGGGAGAATTTGAGACACAAATATGACCATTTTAAAAATAAGGACAAAGGCCCATACAGTCCTTCCACACCAGGGATGTGCCTCTGCGGATCAGCTGAGTTATCTCAAAAACACCAACACCTGACTCTTCCAAATTTAAATGTGTGAGTCTCTTATATACAGGGTCTGGCACAACTAACACCCCTTTTAATTACAAATCTTTTATCACAAAATCATAAGCATGTAATTCTGTAACATAGCAACATTATACTCAAGCACACCATGTGACATAGGTGAAGTGTTTAGATTAAAACTATAAATTATCACACCCATATTATTACCCTACCAACCACACTCCAGCAGGCATTACTTCTGCTGGACCCTGTGTATCTGAGGCTGACGAAAAGGAAAAAGCTAAAATTGGGTGTCATAATAAAGGCAGGTATGGGGGGAAAGGCCAGAAAAAACACAGGTATGCATTATAGTTCAACCAAAGTCAGTTAAACATACCTATCTGGAAAAAGACACTAGTTTGTTTTTAAGTGACTTGGTTCATTTGAAAATGCTGTTCAATGTCCCCTATAGTTCAATAAATGCAGTTTGCTTGTCAAATAATGAGACTTTTCTGGGTATTACATTTTTAGTTATACCTCTGTGCTATTTAATTCAGATATTTGGCATTCATAAAATGTTTTAAAATTTTATTTAAATGCCCCAGTCCTCCTCCATGACATACTTCTAATTTGCATTATTATACTAACTTCGGTTAAAGTAGATACAAGTAGACCTCCTTCTGCAGACTCTAGAAAGCACAAGAAGCCAAATGCCTGTACCACATAAGAAAGTTCTTCAGAGCATGAAATGACTGGAATGTCACATTAGTATGAAGTGATGTCATATTTAGAAGTGTGTAGAGTAGGTGGCCATTCCAGAAGAAATGGCACGTAGTGCCACAGGGAAGTGATTACGGCCTTTTCCATACAATGAGTGGCACTTTTGTTACAACAACCTCATTCTTGAGCACATGTAAGAATAACAGAGTGGATCAGATTTTGCTTGGGTAAGGTGGGCACTTTAGGAAGGGCATCAGATCATTTCAATCACTCGAGTACCATTTAATATATTATAGTGCTCTATTTGATTCTTAGGAAGCATGAAAATAATGATGACAGGTATTTGTCATCTGCATTTGGATAAGTGTCCATTAAGTAAACAGTTAAAGATATGTGAGGCCATTTCCTGGACAATTCAAGCTAAATGACCCATTTGGTTCTAATCATTAGAACATTTTAGGCATCTTGCCATGTGTAAACCAGAGGGTGTGCGAAGGAAAGTACCTGTGATGTGACCGACCCATCATATCTGCCTTTTTCCTTGCGTATGCCTACAGATTTTTTTGTTGTTTGCTTGATAATAGCTTACTAAAGAGGAAGCAGTATTGAAAATGGGAGGACAGCAGAAAAAATTCAAGGGGTGTTTTCGGTAGCTCGTGCATGTGTTTATATCACTGCCTTCTTTACAGATTAGGAATGTGCTAGTAGAAAGGGATTAAGTAAACTGCTCCCCCATCTACATATGAAAAGAACTGGCCATGGTGATATCTACAAACTGGACTTCTCTCTATTCCTTTAGAGAGCACTACAAGCAACATGTATCTTTTAGAAAGATGAGCTCTAAAACAGTCATAACATATATTGATCATTTGCACAAATGGATTACCCTCTCACATCATTCCTGTTCAATCCCAGGTCAGCCGAACAGAAAGCTATTTCATAGCAATCACAGCTTGAAGTGGCTGTGTCTGCCACACCATTTAGACATAGCATTTTCTCTGTCTAAAAACTTCTTCCACCTACTTACCCCACTAAGCTGCTGTGTGGAACAAAAGGGTTATCGAAGTAACAATATCATAAGCATCATTATGATTATCCCCTAAAAGTGTGGAAAGCCCATTCTCTAGCACATTTTGCCTGTACGTGCAAGGTTTTATTTATTGGTAATAAACAAACAGAAACTGACGGTTCCATAGTTTAACAATGTGAGCATGAATGCTAAAGAATTACAACACTAGAGAAGCAGGTAACTGCCACAGCGCGCTATTTGTGCCTATGATCAGTTGGAGTTTGGGCATCAGCGTTCAGGCTGCAAAGAAAACAAAAAAAAAGCAGATCAAAATTTCATTCCAGCAAAACCAAATCCAAAATCTACATAATGAACTCTGAAAACCACAAACTGGTTTTGTAGTATTTTGCCATGCTATATATGTTCTTCAGTTCAATGAATCCGTGCACAAGAAAAGCATTGTTTTATTTGGCTTATTCCTTCACCATATATTCCTCGATGTATGTTTCATTCTATTAAAAATGAAATTATACAAAGGTGAGCAAAACTGTAGATTTACAGTAGTTGAACACTTAATCTCTGGGGGTGATATTGACAACATAAAAATGGTGTAAATGATATTCCATAACTCTAAAATATACTTATGAGCCCCTTATGTGTGTTCCACTGCTTTACGGCCTGCAGTGAAGCGCATGACTAGCTTAATAAGCAAGGCATTTAGAAAGGTTTCTTTTCCCCTTCACAGACTAAAGATCCGCACCATTCTGTGAGTTGAAATCCTTGTCAATGATTTCCCCTCAGGATGAGGTTTCCTTCCCTGATATAATGGTTATTTAAAAGGAATTTCTCACTGCTTTTTGAAACTACCAAGAACTGTGTCCATAATGTTTTTTGAAGGTTTAAATTTATGTTTAGAAAAAAAATTTTTTTCCTACCCAGGACTCATGGCTTCCCACCCCCCGCCCTGGTGTTTCCTCACCTCTTATTCACCTGTATAAATAATGGGATTTTCTTAAGAACTAATAGTTTTCTCATTGCTACCATGCTTTGGGGAAGCAAATGTTTCTTTTGAGTAGCTAACTTATCTGTGAACTAATGGCAATAGTTTACCAATAATTTCTCTTTTTTTTTCTAGTAATTTCCCCATCTTTCTTTCCAGGGAACAGCCTACAGATAACGCTAGCCCAATCAAATCTGATCCTTTTGTGTCTAAAGACTCACAATCTCAGGAGAGGCATGTTTTAAAATACCAGCCATCTTCTGCACCCAAGTTCTGAGTCAATTGAGAATAGGAAACTAGAGAAGAAACATTTATGGTGCTTTTAAAAAAGCTAACAGAGAATTTGGTAAGAATGTTGCCCAAATAACCATTTACATTATTAGGGTAAAGTAGCTGCCATCTTCGGTATGTAGATCATGACCAATGTTAATGCCCAGACATTAAACAAGTAAATCATATATTGTCAAGGGACTTTAAGGAGGAATGAGTTCTGTATAAAGTTCTAAAGAATATCTTTTTTTAAAATTCACTTTTATTTTCAAAATCAATGTTACATGGCTACTGTACATGAGAAAGAAGTTCCCCAGAACAAACAAATGAAAATTTATCTTAGTGACCCACACACAGTAAAGAAATCTGGCTTAAAATTCTATAACTGAGTGTCTATAAAGGTCTAATTCTGCTAGGGTGATATGAGTTTAGCCACAAATAGGACACTTTCTTTCTACTGCTATTTCATCTTCTCTAGACAGTTTTAAATAGAGAGGACAGATGTATGGTATTTGTGTAATCCTCACCCAATCTCTGCAAAGTCCTAAGGCAGAAGTTATTAAATTATACCTGTTTAATTAACTACACACTGGTGAAGCCATCCCTCCACCCCTTATGGGTTGTTTTGCGTGGGAATATTGTACTCCACTTAATGTATCCTGCTAGCTAATGAACTATGACAGATTTTCACAGGTATGTAAAGATAGTGGTACTATCGTATGGAATGATAGTAAGGGCAATTGGAGAGGGATTTTAGCCCCCTGTGTGTTAGAATCTGTCATCAGTTGCAAGCCAATTAACTTCTCTTAGGTTATTTCCATACTCACAAAACAGGGGTCATGATATCTTCCTTACCTATCATATGGGCATAACCCTGCTAGAGGACTAGGTCCTCTTTGTGACTGAATGGTTACCAATGAGGAAGCACAAAGTTCTCTAAGCTATCCAAATACTAGGATTATTTTCCCTGATTATTCCAATTTGGGGCTATCAACTCCTCCTTCCATCTACAATGAGCAACTTGGCACAGAAGAACCACATAGCACAAATTTTATGTGCCAATAAATGTGGCAGCAACAGAGTAATTCTATTTTTTTAAATATTTTTATGTATTTACTTTTAGAGAGAGGGGATGGGAAGAAGAAAGAGAGGGAGAGAAACATCAATGTGTGGTTACCTCTCATGTGTCCCCTACTGGGGACCTGGCTTGCAACCCAGGCATGTGCCCTGACTGGGAATCAAACAACCTACCCTTTGCTTCACAGGCCCGTGCCAAATCCACTGAGCTACATCAGCTGGGGTAATTCTATTTTTTAAAGTGGCGTGACAACAATGGCCTATTGTCACAGCCTTCTATGAAAATGGTGCCTGTTTTCTTCATTAAAACACACATATGCCCTGGTTGGTGTGGCTCAGTGAATTGAGTGCTGGCTTGCACACTAAAAGGTCATCAGTTTGATTCCCAATCAGGGCACATGCCTAGGTTGTGGGCCAGGTCCCCAGTAGGGAGCACACAAGAGGCAAACACACATTGGTGTTTCTCTCCCTCTCTTTCTCCCTCCCTTTCCTTCTCTCTAAAAATAAATAAATACAATAGAAAAAATGTGAAAGTGAATAATAAGACAAACTTTTAATGAAAGAAAATCTTTCCTTTTCTGTGCTTCTCAGATCTACCTGGGATAGGGTGAATCTTAAGCTTAAAAAATTGTATTACATATGTAAAGAGAATGAGGCATAAAGTAACTGGTTAAGCAGTTATAAGAGGTGAGTTAAACAACCTTTCTAGATCATAGTCAGAAAGATGTTTTAATTAGTAGATTACTTTTGTATACCCCAAAATGCTGACTAGCAGAACAACCTATTTTGGTCTGAAAACCTTACCATCTTGCTATCACTATAACTACAACATCATCTATTATGTGAGTGAGATATAAGTAGAATTGTAACTCAGATTTGTAGATAAAAATTTTTACCATCATCACAATTAGTGTGACAGACTTTCAATCATTGCAAATATTCAGTTAACAATACAATGATAAGCACTGCAAGCAACCCCATGGCAACTAGGCCCTAAATTATCACACGATGTAAGCTTTTCACATTCTTCCAAGAAATAACTAGAAGAATACTGTGTGCTATAACCTGAAAGGTATTTCACAGCCAAAGCACATGGTCTGGGAGGGACCATCAATCAAGATTTGGAAAAAAAAAAAAACTTGTGGAGGATGAAGAAAGTGAAAGACGAATATTTCCTGGGGAAGAAAGTAAAAATCTCAGGCCATCTAGAAAAACATACAGGGAAAAAAAAACCTACTGCTTTAGAGAAATATGCTCGATCACAGGTGTGGGGGGGGTTGCTAGAGCCTTACCCACTCTGTGATGGTGGCTCAGCAGAGGTTTCCCTGGGTGGTAAAATGTTCCTACTCTTCAAGGAAGCATTTAAGAGGAAAAGGTTTCATTTCTCACAATTTCTCTAATCTTTGACATGCTGTACAGTTTACAAAACAATATTTCCACTTTAAAATTGGATATTAGAGTGCCTGTGTATATCTTCCAACATGTTACAAGACAAGAAATGGGAGGGAAATTAATGATTAATGACAGTAGGGCAGGAAGTAGTCTGTTGGAGTTGGTAGAAAACCCTATAGAGAAATTCTATCTGTTCTCCTTTTAATTTTTCTTGTCATATCACATACATGACAGGAAATCATAGGTGATTTATCATTTCAAGTCCTCCTACTTGCTCCTAGCAGCAATTTCGCTGCTGTTCTACCAAATTCTGCAATGACAAAATGAGCTCAACAGTAATTGCTTGCAATATGTTTTGGCATGGCATCTTAAGCTTTTTTGGAGGAGTGTTGTTAAAGATTTCCAAGCAAGTAGCGAAGAGGGAAGAAATAGATATTGCGAATCAAGGAAGACTATTTGCAGTTCAGGCTGATTTTGAGATAATGGGTAAGAATATACATATTGATATATCTTTGATAGTATAAATATATGTTAAAAGTTATATATTATAAATATCTATATTAAATGACACTGTAAAATATGTGTGTATTTTTGACATCATAATTAAAATGCCAAAGGTTAAAGATAAAGATAGAATCTTAAAAGCAGCAAGAGAAAAACGTTTAGTTACCTTCAGGGGAGCTCCCATAAGACTGTCAGCTGATTTCTCAAAAGAAAATTTGTATGCCAGAAGGGATTGGCAAGAAATATTCAAAGTCATGAAAAGCAGGGGCCTGCAACCGAGATTGCTCTGCCCAGCAAAGCTATCATTGAGGATCGAAGGGCAGACAAAGAGTTTCCCAGACAATGTAAAGCTAAAGGAGTTCACCATCAGCAAACCTTTATTCCATGAAATGTTAAAGGGATTTATTTAAGAAAAACAAGATCAGGACTATGATCAGAACAATGATCAGAGCAATACCATCAGAACTAAATGGCAAAAAGTACATATCTATCAACAATTGAATCTAAAAATCAAAACTAAGCAAACAGGAAGAACAGAGATAGAATCTTGAGTATGGACAGTGTTTGGATGGTTGCCAGATGGGACAGGGGAGGGAGAGAATTGGTGAAGAGGTGAGGAGATTAAGAAGTACAAATAGGAAGTTACAGAGTAGCTGTAGGGATGTAAAGCACAGTATAGAAAATGAAGTAGCCAAAGGACTTATACACATGACCCATGGATGTGAACAGTGGTGTGGGGGATTGCCTGAAGAAGTGGGGGGTGCTGAGTAAAAGGGTCAAAGGGGGAAAAATCTTGACAATTGTAATAGCATAATCAATAGAATATAATTTAAAAAGAAAGAAAAAAAGAAAGCATGAGTAAAGTCAGGGAGCATTCCCCCAGATTAAAAAAAAATTGTGTCCATTGCTTTTAGACTCAAATGATACTTTAGTCAATTTGCTTTGTATTCTTCAGTGTCATCTTAACCAAGTTGTGCATCAGTAAGATCATGCACATTATATTTTAGAGTGCTCAGTCTATAATGGCGGAGTAAGCCCCCACATTTTTTTAGAACAA